CCCCCCCCCCCCCCCGCAGTGATAGAGGAAGGCGGGGTCAAAATGAAGCTGACGGTCATCGATACCCCGGGCTTCGGAGACCAGATCAACAATGAAAACTGGTATATGTCTGCCCTGTGAGATTTCTGCCCTAAAGACTCTGCAAGGAAGACGCTGAACATGGTTCAGATTCATTCCCATCGAGAGCCATCTGTACCCTTCATGCCGAGGGGTTAAGTGGGAAGGCTTACTAACGGACCGCAGAGGGGCTTTATAAAGAGGCGAGGGAAGAGGCTCTGGTGGGAGGCCAGTGCAGAAGGGATTTGGGCTGTGGGGTTACCTACAGGTGGCCGAAGGGCAGGGTGGGCAGAACAAGGGGAGCGGTGGTAGGCTGATCTGAAGGCTGTGGCAGAGCTTGGCCTGCGGGCAATGTCTTAGCCCTGGAAGAAGAGAGGAGGGTGGGCCATTTCTATGAGGAGAGAGCCTCTGGGACTTCACTGAGCAAAGCTGCGGTGCGTATGCAGCCAAGGAGGGCTGTGCAGAATGTAGATGGGAAGTTCCAGGCAGAAGTTTGCTCCCAGATAGGGATGGAGACCGTTGTTCCTCTGTGAGGGAGCTGGGTTCTGCCACGGATAGGCAGGGCCCCTGGACAGCACAACTTGGAGCCTTCTTGGAAAAGTGACCGATCGTCCTCTTTCCTGGTGTTTTGAATGCTCCTTGAGGGAGAAAGGTGATCGTAACATTGGCAGCAGTCAGGGTAATGAGTTGTTGCCACGTTGAATATTTTCTGTATGCCATTGCTATGTTAAGGACCAAACCTCTGTTCTTGTGCGTGCCTCTAGGCAGCCGTGGGTCCTCCCACTTTAGTTGTGAGAAAACAGCCTCAGGGAGGGTAGAGACTTCCTCAGAGCCTCCCAGCTAATAAGGAATGGAGGTGGGGAGAGTGTGTGTTGCTTTCTGGAGTGGGGCGGGGTTCTGCAGGATCCTCTGGCCCAGTCAGAGGACTGGGTCTCCATGGGGGTTCTAGCCTTGCTGATGAGGAAAGCCGTCCGTGGGAGCCTGAGGGAGGGTGGGCAACCCACCCCAGGCCCCCCAGGGGAGGTAGAAACGAGAGGGATGTGAGAGCCCTGCTGCCTGACCATGTCTAAGGTGAGCCCCCAAGTCCTGTCTTTCTGGGACATCCGTCTGCTTTCTTCCCACCCTCCAGCTGGGAACCCATCGAGAAGTACATCAATGAACAGTATGAGAAGTTCCTGAAGGAGGAGGTCAACATTGCCAGGAAGAAACGCATCCCTGACACTCGTGTCCACTGCTGCCTCTACTTTATCTCCCCCACGGGACACTCGTATGTACCAGTCCCATGCCCATGGCCACACCTAGCTCTGGTTTGCGTCATTCTCCAGTGGATAACTAATCCCTGGATTCAGCTGGGGCCCCGGATGAGCCCCAGTGTAGTCATGGCCCCGTGATCCCCTAGACTTCCCCCCCCTAAAAGGCTGACTTTCTTACCGGGAGAGTAAAGCTGACCAACACCAGCCCCCCATGCTGCCCACTGGTGTTCTAGCACAACTGTGCCAGCAGAGAGGGGTCGACATGTGAACACAGAGGGCTCCTCGCTTATTCAGTAGATCTCTGCTTTGCCCAAGGCTGGGGGTGGGGGATGGGCAGCAGGAGAGTAAAAGGGGAGCAGGCAGGGTTGTTGAATTGGGGTGGGTGTTTGGGGTGGGTGTGGGACCCCGCTGTAGGCATTTGGTGGGTGGCCAGCCCAGCATGTCTAGAGATGAAGGCTGGCAACGAGCAGAGCATGCTGGGAAGTCCAGTTGTGAGTCGCAGATGGGACAGCACGATAAGGAGTGCGGACCTGGGATAGAGAGATCCAAGTGGGCACGCGGGCATGCCTTCCATAGCTTAGTACTGAGCCCGTCTGCTGGGCCAGAGTTCAGTTCTTGAGAGGACGACACAGGCAAGGCAGACCCCCAGGTTTGGAGGAACCAGGTAGTCAGCAGGTGTTTGAGGGTGGGGCCCAGGGACTCAATAAAAAGGTTTGCTTTATCCTTCCCTGGAATGTGGACCCAAGGTCAGAGCAAGCCAGCAGACAGCCTGACTTAGTAAGTCCCCGGGACTGTGAACTAGAGCCAGACTGGGGCCCCAGAGCCTCGGGGGAGCTGGGCCCTCAGAATGAGGAGAGCCAAGGTCCCCAGCTGGGCCCCTGCAGGACTAAGTGCGGGCTGGGAGAAGGCCCATCAAAAAGTGCAGTCCTGGGGGCGCCTGGAGACCCAGGCGGAACACGTGACTCTTGATCTCAGGGCTGTGACTTCCAGCCCCACGTCGGGCATGGAGATTACTTAACAACAACAACAAAAAAGTGCTGTCCCATTAGCAGAATGAGATAAACAAGTAACCGTGACCCAAGGACACATAGGCAGAGACGACAGTCCACAGCTGTTCCCAGGAGAAAAAGATCCCCACGGCAGGCAAGCTGTTCTGAAGGAGCAGTGGGAGTAGGGCTGCTAGAGGAGGGGCAGGATTGGAAGAGAAAGGGAGATGGTGGTCCAAGTGGGGCAGAGACTTGGAGTCTGTTCCGCAGGCTGTCAGGAGACGGAGCAGCCCCTTGGCCTCAGCCAGTCTTCCCGGCCCAGTCCCTCTGTCCCGAGGGTGGCCCTGGAGTGGTGGCAGCGGCTGAGTGGGGCAGGGCAGGGTGGCTCTGACACCCCACCTTCTCTGGGCCCCAGCTTACGACCTCTCGATCTGGAGTTCATGAAACACCTCAGCAAAGTTGTGAACATCATCCCTGTCATTGCTAAGGCTGACACCATGACCCTGGAGGAGAAGTCTGAATTCAAGCAAAGGGTGAGAAGGCCCCTCCTCCTTTTCCTGTCCCCACCCTTCCCCCTCCTCTGGTCCAAACCATGTCCTCTCCTTGATTATTATACCCCCCCCCCCCCCCCGCTGCCCACCCAGCTCCTATTTAGCCATTAAAGAAGCTGGGCTGACAGTGTCTATGGACAAAGAGAAGTTTGCAGCCTCAGGCTGCCTTCTTCCCAGCCACCAAACTTACTGGCAGAGACCACTGAATACATAAACCACCATACACATGAGAGACCACTCCTCGATGTTAGCTTGCTTGAAGGGCTAAACTAATTAATTAACTTCCCGCTAGTGTTTATTAGTGTCTTCTATAAGCTCCTCCCTGTGCTGGATGCATGGGGTTGGAGGTAGGGGCATGTGGATGAAGTATAAAGACATTGCTCCCTTCAAAAAAATTACAATCAGGTAGACCACTGAAGAAGTCCTGGGTGGCTTCCTGGAGGAGGTGAGACATAAGTCGAGCTTTGGGAGAGGGCAGACCTATAGGCTTGGGGTGGGGAGCCCCACTTCTCTTCCCTGCAAACAGGAATATGACACATAGTAGCATGAGCACTGCCCATGTGGAATCTGTACTCAGCTTGTCTAAATCCTAATCTTATGGACCCTGCGATGAGCAAGCTGCACCCCCAGACTGTTCCTCAGCTCAGGCTGGGCTGTAGTAGCTGTATGACTGGGGCTCATGTTTATTAGGATCTTCCTGCTGCTCAGGGCCTTGGAGTTCGAAGATGACTGGATTAGCACAGGCTGATTCATCCCTCTGACTTCAGCACACACGTGCACACACATACACACACACTCACACCTGTGTGAGCGTACCCCACCCCCTCCCCGCATTATCCTGACACTTGGCTACCTTGATGCTTCTCTTCCTTGCCCCTAGGTTCGAAAGGAGCTTGAAGTAAATGGCATCGAGTTCTACCCACAGAAGGAATTTGATGAGGATTTGGAGGACAAGACGGAGAATGACAAAATCCGGGTGGGTGCCTCGGGCTCTGTTCATCACACAAATGCCCCCCTTGTTACCAGTGGGATGTGGATCGTGTACCCCTCCTGTCTTTCCACCTGCTTTTCCCCTTTCATACTCTCTGCCCCACCTCTCCGGACCCAGACCAGAAGTGACATGGGACAGGATGAGGACTGGGGCCCTTGCCGGGACTGTGAACTTTGCACCCAGAAAGCCAAAGTTCGTGTCCATCCCAGACCACCCAAAAAGTTCTTTCCCCAGAGGGCCTGGCAAAACCAGGGTGTGGTTGATGGAAGGGCATGGACAGGAAGAGCATCAGGCTGGGGTCCAAGGTGTCTATGCTCTAGTCAGAGCTCTGCCTCAGTGTCCCCTCCATAAAGTGCAGGGCCCAGGCTGAGTGGCTTAGAGGCTTTCTTTCCCCTAGAGGAACTGTTTTAAAAAATGAAACATCAGACAGACCTTCTGTATATGAAACATGAAAACAGAGCTGCTCTGGCTCAGCGACACAGGCACAGAGCACTGTCTTCTCAGCAGTCCCTGGGGTGTCTCCTGGGGATGCTAAGGCTTCATGTGATTTCCGTGGTCCCTTTCAATGTCAAACTTCTACAATTCTGGGACTTTACATCATAATCATGAGTTCTCGTCTGGGCTTTTCTACTAACCACTGTGACCTAAGACAGATCATTTACTTGCTATGGTCTTGTGTCTCCTCCTGGGTTAAGGGTGAATAATCTACCAGAAGCCCCTTACCTGATATAGCTGAGACACGTACAGGTTAATTGGAAAAGCCCATCAAAGTGAAGAAATCATTTAAAAAACGATGCCTACAAATCTTCAGTGTTTTTAAGGAAATATTTCACTAAATGATCAAGTGAAAATAAAACGTATACATCCCATTCATTAAGCATTCTTTTCATGTTGAGACAAGGCTGCTTCTTTGAGAATAAGTTCAATCTTAAGACAAGCGCAGCTCACCTTTATCAGGTCTTTCTGAAACTCACGTTTCAGAGAAGCAACTCTCCACGGTCATACGTCCTCAGCTTCCATAATAGTTAATTTGTCCAGTAACAAGGACACATCAGGCAAACGGACTTGGGAACAAACGGCTGTCTTGGTGAACATTCAGCCCATCTGGGGGAGCGGAGGGGCCCACGAACATCAGACAGTGGCCTTGGAGCTCTGAGAGGTCAGCGGACGTGGGCTTCTGCCAGTAGGTTTCATGCGAGGTAGTGTGAAGCATCAGTTACGTGGTCGTCAGATGGGTCGGTATCACTTAAGAGAGGTCTTTCTATCCTCTCTTAGCTCTCAGAGTTGTTCCAAGCCAAACCAAACGCATTAAAGCAATAAAAAGTACAAAGCGTTCTCCTGGTGAAGGAAGGCCAACTTACCGAGGTGAACCAGCCAGGTAGGGGTGCAATCAGGGGTTGGACCCAGGACTTCAGACTCCTTTTCAGGAGACAAGAGCCTTGCCCTTGCCCCTTGCCATCAGTGGGATCACTGAATGAGCATCAGAAACGTGCAGTTCGAGGCTAGAGGCCCAAGACTCTATGCCGTCCTTGGAGGCCCAGACGGCACAGGAGGTTGACGTGCACATGTGTGTGGTTTGTCAGCAGGAGAGCATGCCTTTCGCTGTGGTGGGCAGCGACAAGGAGTACCAAGTGAATGGCAAGCGGGTCCTCGGCAGAAAAACTCCCTGGGGGATCATCGAAGGTAATCCAATGCATCTTCTTGAAAAACTGGTTGCTGGTCAATTACGCTTATTTATTAAGCATCTATAGTTCAGGGCGCTGTCCTGGCACGTAAGATGTAAACTGAATGCCAGCCAGACCCTGCCGTGAGGAGCTTACTGTCTAATGGAGAAGATGAATCTCAGAGGCAGGAAATGATTAAAGGCCAAGTTAGCACCTGACTGGGAGACGCTGACTTTGACTCGTGTGTCAAAGGAGTTGAGAGCATAGAGAGGTTAATGAGCACTGAAAAAACCAGGGAAAAGTTTTCACATGAAAGGGGACATGAGCCGACAGACTGCTGAAGGGTGGTTCAGATGTGGCCATTTTCATTTTGTTATGAATGGACGGGACCTCTAGAAGGTCAATAGCGATCCTGAAAGTTTTCAAAGAATTGCATTAGCGATCTCTTTCAAGGTGATAACCTTCTGCAGGGAGCAGGGTGACGTGACTGTTCTCAGAACATGAGCTTCTGAGGACCTTGAGTCTCAGGTTAAGGGTCTTGGCCAAGATCACATGACTTGTTAGGGGTGAAACTGGGACTTCAGACCCAGATTTCAATTCCACAACTGAATTTATTCCATTTTCCAAACCAAGTTCATCTCACTGTACCACATTGTCTCTCATTTGCCTATGGCCCTGTGTTGGGATTTTTTTTTTTTTTAAATACATTTTCTCACTGCCTTGAATTGGAATCTTTTTTTTTTTTAAACGTTTATTTATCTTTGACAGAGAGAGAGACACAGAGCATGAGCGGGGGAGGGGCAGAGAGAGAGGGAGACACAGAATCGGAAGCAGGCTCCAGGCTCCGAGCTGTCGGCACAGAGCCCAACGTGGGGCTTGAACTCACAGACCATGAGATCATGACCTGAGCCGAAGTCGGATGCCTGACCGACTGAGCCACCCAGGCACCCCTTGAATTGAAATCTTTTAATGAGAATGTCTGTCTTGTCCATTAGATTGTGGGACTAGAGGGTTCATGTCTTAATTCCCTTCTGCCCCCATAGTCCTTGGCAAGTGATTTGCAGATAGTAGGTACTCAATCTGTATTGAATTAGATTCATTGTAGTGCATTGCCTTTTTAAGATGGGTCGATAGTTATTTGCTGTGTGTGTTACTGCCTTCCAATCAGGTTATAAGCTCCTTAAGGATAGGAATTGTGTCTTAGGTCTTGGGCAGATTTTTAGACCCTCTGTGTATTAGTTTCCTTTCCTATAAAGTGGGAAATAAAATTGTCCCTATTAGCTGTTATTTCACAGAGTCTAGAATAGTATCGTATTATTGTAGCTGCTCAATAAATATTTGTTCAGGGGCACCTGGGTGACTCAGTGGGTTAAGCGTCTGACTCTTGGTCTCAGCTTGGGTCTTGATCTCAGGGTCATGAGTTCAGGCCCCACGTTGGGCTCCATGCTGGGCATGAAGCCTACTTAAAAACAAATAAATAAATATTTGCTCAATGAATAAAATCCCATGCACGGAAGTGCCAGGATGAGCAAACCTCTGGAAGGCTTACAATACATTATGTGTCCTGTGGCTCCCTCCTAAATGCCAACATGATCTGAACAGAAGTTCATCCGCTAGGTGTTGCTACATTAGTGAAATGACCACCTGTTTTGTTTTGTTCACAGTGGAAAACCTCAACCACTGTGAGTTTGCCCTGCTTCGAGACTTTGTCATCAGGTGAGATGCACCCCTTCCCGTGGATGGCAGGTTTATTTATTTGGGGTCAGGAGGCCATCTGTTCAGACCTACTTCCTCCGTCTCCGGGATTCTCTGACAGCTCTCTGCCCCCATTCCAGCTCCCATCATGAAGCAAGAGGGGCTGAAGAAGTATCGTTAGCTCTCTGGCATGGGTCCCAGTCACTGGGGCCAGGCCATGGAAGTGACATGTTAACCTCGGATGTGGGTCAGTCTCTTCCTCTTCCCACCCTTCATCACATCCCTCTCTCTTCTCACCCTTTGTCCTTCAGGACCCACCTCCAGGACCTCAAGGAAGTGACACACAACATCCACTATGAGACCTACAGGGCCAAGCGGCTTAATGACAACGGAGGCCTCCCTCCGGTGAGCGTGGACACAGAGGAAAGCCACGACAGTAACCCATGACGACCCTTTCTCTATATCATCACACATACCCACTTCTCCACACACGCACCCCGGTACCACCACCACCCACCTTCTTCCTTTCTACTCTGTCCCCCAGGCCTGTCTGGTGTTTGTGGAGTTTGTCTACAGTGTGTGTGTGTGTGTGTGTGTGTGTGTGTGTGTGTGTGTGTGAGAGAGAGAGAGAGAGAGTGTGTGTGTGAGAGAGAGAGAGAGAGAGAG